GGGGCGCTCCCGGGGGCCCCCCCAGCCACAGCCAGAGGCAGGGCATCTGTGCCTTCTTGGAAAATGTGGACAGCCAGTTAAAAAAAAATTAAAGGCTATTAAGGTGTGAAAGATTAGTCAAACTTTCATTTCTTTTAAAAAAAAAACTTAAGTGCAGTTCAAATTAAGCTTGTATACTGCTTCCTGTGATTTCAACAGTTTAAACGAGCCCTCCTGCCTCCTCCCCCCAGAAAGCAATGCGCGCATCTGTGCCTTCTTGGAAAATGTGGACAGCCAGTTAAAAAAAAATTAAAGGCTATTAAGGTGTGAAAGATTAGTCAAACTTTCATTTCTTTTAAAAAAAAAACTTAAGTGCAGTTCAAATTAAGCTTGTATACTGCTTCCTGTGATTTCAACAGTTTAAACGAGCCCTCCTGCCTCCTCCCCCCAGAAAGCAATGCGCTTCGGTTTCCCACGGCGACAGCTGCCTTTGGTGTCTGGATAAGCATCTCGCCACAATCCCAGCCCCGCTTTCTTGAACGAGTGCTCACGCCAGCTGCCCTCCCCTGACTTTTCTACGCGAGCGCTGAAATCGCAGCTGCCCACCGCGCCTGCCGGGCCGAGTGTCTCCACCTCAACTGGCCTCTGAGCCCAGAGGGCGACCCCGCGGCAGAGACGGCCAGTGCCGCGTGGCTGCCTGTGCTCTGACTCCCCGGCCTGTGCTCTGACTCCCCGGCCTGTGCTCTGACTCCCCGGCCTGTGCTCTGTTGCAGGTGCTAAGGAGATCGACATCGCAGCCACCCTGGAGCACCTGCGGGACCAGAGACCCGGCATGGTCCAGACCAAGGTACTGTCCATCCCCCTCGGGCTGTGGCCCACGGTTCAGTGTGAGCGTGGCTGGTGTGCGTGCTTCGCGCTCTGCCCGGGCTGGCCCTGTCCAGGACAATGCCAGAGGGCGACGGCACATCTGGGCCCTCCCTCGGGCTGGCTGGGGCTCCTACAGCACCGGAACCTTTCAGCATCAAGGGTGCAGCCAGGCTCCGGTTGAGAATGGACCGGCCTCAGCACTCACCGGGCTGGGGCTGGGGCTGGGCTGAGCTGTCGAGCGTGGCCGGCGGTACGCCCAGTTCTTCCGGACGTGTTCCGAGCTCACCACCACTGCTGCCTCCCCGGGTCATCATGGCCACAGCTGTGCCGCGTGCTGGTCACAGGACAGTGGCCCAGGGTGTACTGGACCCTGAGTGCCCAAGAAGCTTATACCTGTCAAAGGCCCAGTTCCCCACCACCAGTAAGTCCCAAAGGTCCCTGGCTAGCATGGGCCGGCCACGGTGGGGATGAGCTGACCGTCCATTCGGGGCAGCCACGCGGCGCTGCAGACTGCAGTGTTCTGCCGCACCAGGCCACAGAGAGACGTTCACACCCCAGACCCCCCTGTGCTGGGGGCATGTATGCCCACATCCAGGCTGACTGAGGTGGGTGGGCTGCGGTACAGTGAACACACTGTGGGTGCTGCCTCCCCCTGCCCCTCCCTGCCC